GTACCTTTTAGCATCTACCTGAGCAGAAGCTGAACTTCCTTCAACAGCTACATCGGGTGAATGTGTTGCGTCAGCAAGCTGGTTTTCGGGTTGAGGTGTTGTTCCGGGTTCGTGCTACAAAAATTTCATCTCAGTATTGAAATTTTCTTTTGACACTGATTTTTCATGCCTAAAGACCGTGCTGATGATGGTTTCAAGCCGAATTGAAGGGCTAAAAACAGAGAGCTGAATATACCCTTGGCGGAGGAGTGGAGGAAGGGATATTTGGTCCAACGCATTGCGTTACAGATTTTTCGGCTTCGTCCAGGAATTGCCTTATCCGAGCATCAATGTACACCAGCCATTTGTTGCCAGCATATTGCTCAAGTTCGCTAAAACATATCACTTCGATATCAATAACGTGCAAGAAGGGCATTCAAAAAAGCAGATTCCTGTGATTTTATTCCCAATGAACTTCGAATGGCAAAAATTTCCATTGAATTCGTGCGCTGCTTCACAGTTTGAGGAACGTTTTATGCTCAACAACTTAGATTCATAAGAAACGGATAACTAACCGAATCATATAATCATGACTGACTGTAACCGCATAGACATCGGCACCAATTGAGCGCAGACGATCGGCTGCCTTCAAGACATCATCCCAAGGATCTTGACTGTTACCGTCTGATATCAGAACTACCATGCGTCTGGAATTGGTGCATGATCAATCGAAAAGATTAAGATAAACAATCTCAAGGTTCTGCAAAAAACATAAAGGAGCGTTTGAATGCTGTTCAGAGAATTNTCTGTGGCTTATGCTTTCTGTTTCTGGAGAATGATGTTGTCAAGAAAGGATTCACCTAGCATCTTTCCGGCCGGTTCGTGTGATCTCGTCGACAGCCAAGTTGACACCGCTAACTGCTGATGTGCTTCCACCAAAATGCTCAATCTTCATTAGGGCATTGAGCACCTAAAAATGAGGATCACTTGCTTTCCCCATTAACCATCTCGAACTGATTTTTGATTATGAGCCTCATGTCAGCTAAAGCCGATCATTCGACTTAATGCTTTCACTCAAAAGTACCATTAATCAAACGTATAATTCAAAAACTTTTGGACACCACAAACGATTCTATGCAAATGACATTTCAAACTCTTGGAAAAATGATCATTTTGCAAGGCGATTCTCTGATGATCTTGCATACGCTGTCGCTCACCTTTGATTGTTCTTTGTACTGATCAAATGCGAATTGCAATTCTGCAGTTGAGTGGAACGATACGGCACCAACGCGAACACGTGATGCGAAATCATTGCTCGATAAACGTTTCACCTGATCAACAAAAAAAGCATGAGCATTTCAGCGGTGAGAATTCGCGTTTGACAAGAGTTCGACTCATTCACATCGCAAATACCTTCTCAGCAAA